GGGGATACGACAACGCAAACATCAATATGCGAAGTGGTGGTCCATCAAGAACCACAACCAAGGCTGTCGTCTAGGGTGTTTTAACTTATCAAACCATTTGATATTATAACGATTAAATCACTCAGATTTATGCAAAGCACACTAAACCATAAAAACATGTAACGGGCTTGCAGTTCAACGTGAAGGCTTGCATCGACAGGCGGTGATCTAGTGATATTGAGCTGAAGAGAGGAATAATAAAAAAAATAAAAACTTGGGGAGGTGAATAAAAAAATAGTTTATTTTTAGGTGCGCATCATATGAAATTGAAGGATATAATTAAAATATATTTCAAAATTTTAGAACTAGGGTGTAAAATGTTCCAAATTTTGGAGTACCATAACCCCTATCAATCAACGTAGTTCCGCTGAATGAGTTCCTTTCGTTTTGCAAGAAAGTCAGTAATTCAAACTCTTCATACTTTAAAAATTGCCTTATGGCTAGAAGAATCTAGAATAACTTTTAATTTTAAAATGATGTCTAATTTAATTTTTTAATGTGGTAATATAATTCTTTTGTCTTAATAACTGCTAATTAATAATGATAATTTCTTGAATGCATGAAAATGAGTTATAGGATTCTATTTATGTCACACACACAAAATAATTATAATAATAACAACGCGGCTTGCAAATTAAACCAAGTTGCCTTTTAGTTTTTTAGTGGTGATTTTTCACTTTCCCCATTTCAGCGGTTGGATTCAATAATATTCGGTCAAGATTGAGCGAATACTGAACTCAACTAGGTTTATTTGTACCTAATTAACGATGAGAATATTATTTTACCGTCTAAATATTGCCCCTACATTTTGCTTTTTAGATTCTCTCGCAAGTCCTTATGCGTACAGTACTTGTTTGATTAAGTGCAGAAAGTCCTAACAAATGCTAAAATTGTCTTGTTAATTAGCTTGGCGGTGTAGCTGAAATCACAATTAAGCAGTTTTTGATTAGCTTTGGTGACAAGACAACCACAAAATGGAGTGCTATATTAAGCAAGGGATACAATTTCGTCTAACTCAATAATAGTAATAACTCAATAACAGTAATAATAATAACAATTTGACATACTGGCCTAGAAATCATGCTTAGTTTTGATAGTTACTGACAGTAGAGCATTTCATATTAAATTTTATATCAATTGAAATTAAATTTATTACTTTTAAGATTATGTTAGTGTCAAAATACGTTTAATTTTTTATCGATCATTAAATTTTTTTAAAACCAAAGTAGTCCAAATATTATAGCTTTGGTGACAAGACAACCACAAAAAGGAGTACTACATTAAGCAAGGGATACAGTTTCGTCTAACTCAATAATAGTAATAATAATAATAACAATTTGACATGTTCGCCTAGTAACCCTACTTCGTTTTGATATTTATTGACAGTGAAGTATTTCAAATCAATTTTTATATCAATCGAGATTAAATTTATCATCTCCTAGATCATATTAGTGTTAAAATATGTTTAATTTTTGATCGATTACTAAATTTTTTAAAACCAAATTAGCCCAAATATTATACCATTAAAGAATCATACTTAATTAGCTATCAAAAGTTTATTTCATGACCGCAAAACCTGAGGTTATTCACGATGATCTAAATGAAAGATGTTGCAAAAACACTAAATAAATGTGCAATTATGCTTGCACAGGTCAATAAATGGACTTTTGTCACTGTACTTAATTCCTATATGTCTATTCTGTAATCTATACATAAAATATTGGTATTACTTTATGAATATATGTCAGACTTTTTAATTAATTTAATAGCTTTTGAATAATATATATATATGTTGTCAGTTAATTCAATTACATAACACCAACCAAAGCAAATATTCAAACATGCATGATCAGATGATATTTTAAAAATATTGGCGCTGTCCAGGGCTGGAATCGTTCTTGACTATCTTGCTCCAAACCACTGAAGTGTTTAGACTATGAGAGAATGTATTCCACACCAAATTAAGTTGCTTCTCTTAGATTGATCTCGATTAATTAACATTAAACACATGTCTTCTGAATCATTCAATCTTCTACTCCACCAATGAAGAAAATATTCTTTGGAGAGAGGCTGAAAGGGACAGATAATGACGTTGTCTAGATAACTTAAAAAACTTGATGCGAGCGAATCCATCAACATGGCAATATATTATATAGATTGACTGTTTCAAGCGGTTTTATGCTCAGACTCTAGCATCACAGAGGTCAAAAAATCACTTAAGACCCTTGCTTGAGCATGCAGTTTCAATAGTGTAGTTGTTTGGCTCCACCACACCAAATTATTAAACCAGTTGAAGATATGAACAGAAATGGGGCCAGAGATATATGGAGAGATTGACTTGGTTTTGTAAGTTGTATATAAGCCTTCTAGTTACCAATAACAATATTGATTCAATTCAATTTCTCTTTAAGCAAGCGATGTTTCATGTGAACGAGAATTAATGGATGCTAAGAAATAAGATAGAGCCAAACATAATGGAAGCAAAATATTTGAACACTAGTTAATTTTATGTAGTTTGTCTACTATATCGGTTACCCTTAATTTATTCCAATCCGAACTACTTGTAATTGAGAAACTTCAATTTATTATTAGAAAACGAGTCAATATATATATATTTTTTATAAAAAAGATTATACATATTTGAACATCCATGAGATTAAATTAACCTTTTATTTTGTCTTATTTTTTATATGTGTATATATGTAGGTGTTTGTAGTAAGGGGTATCTACCTTAAAATATATATATATATATATATATATATATATATATATATATATATATATATAGCATAACAATATATATATCAGCTAATTTATTTATTTATTGGGTTTTCTTTATATTTGAATTTTATACTTTTCTAATTTTTTTTGATCAAAATCCTCTACTCCTTAAAATTTTTTTGCTTTGGATTCTTTATTATAACGTCATTAATTAATAATTAACATATGATCGATAATTCTTATTTTATAATAATATATATTGATTACCGATTAGTGTCATTATAACAAATGATCCGAAACAACAAATTTTGAAAAAATAAATAATTTTAAAGTTAAAAAAACAAATAGAAAGTCTCGGTCAGAATTTTTTTAAAAATACATAATTCAAATATGAGATAAATCCTTTACTTGTTTATTTTTGTAAAGTTAAAAATAATAATTGTTGTCAGAGTACACTTCCTAAACATAAATTTTTGTAATTAATCTCTTATGTGTGATTATATGTTAGGTTGACTTACTGGATTATGGGATCCCCAGGCCAATTGACCGAGATAAAAATATATCTTAGATTGAATTCTACCCTTTTTTTTCCTTCCTTTTTATGTTGAATCAACTTTCTGCTTCTCCCACTCATCACAATTAATATAAAGATAGTGATTGATTGATGTTTATGTTCTCAACAACTACAATTTTTAATGGCTACTTTATCAGAAATATGTTGCTATAGACATGTATCTGTCTTTTTAAGAAATCGAAAGACATTTCACTTTATTTCCCTCTTATTGACATGTTAGCTAGCATTGTTCTTTCAATGCTTCTTAATTTCATGTCTTAGGCAATGCAAGACTTGTTTGCCTCCCCCGTTAAATGATTCCCTGGTTATGAAATTAGGAGATGGTCAAAATCACTTTTTTGAGTTCCTAGTGGGCGTTGTTGATCGGGAGCTTGTCGTGATGATTTGTATACAACATATATATGTTGGTAGGTATTTTTGGAGGTCAAATATTGGGCTCGAGTCTTCTCTGAATGTCATTTCATGTGGACCCAACATTTGATGGCTTGAGTTTACCAAATCCAAGAAGGGAAGAAACCGAAGAAAAAGACTTGTGTTTAATAGAGCCCTTATAGGCCCACTTTATAGGCTTGAATTTGGAGTGGGGTCATGAAGCGTGGTCAAGATAAGAGAACATGAGCCCACGTACTTTTATTGGTTTATGATGTGATAGGGTTGTTTTGTTTTGTTTTTTTGTTTTTTTTTTTTTTTCGTTTTTGGTTTTTACTTTTTCGGTTGGATTTTTAGTTAGATGAACTGACACTGACATATAAGGGTAAAAAGAAGAAGAAGAAGAAGTTATGAAATATGGAGTCCTTCCTCTTGTCCAACTAATCTAAATTAATCTATACAAAAAATAATAAATATTAATTTAAATAAAACTAAAACACAAAATCATATCACATAATAAGACATTAATTTAAATATATATCCAATAATTTATATTTAATATATAATAATAATAAAAACTCGTTTACAGTAAATCAAACTAACGAAAGTTTTAATAATAATATGTGGGATCTTTTAAAAAGTTCAAACATATTTTTTTAATAAAAGATTGATTTTTGCTAAAAAGTGAAGTAAAAATTTTATAAACCAAACCTAAATCAAATAACTAAAATTAATTCAGTTTCAGTTTTTTAATCAAATTTAATAAAAAAACTAAAACCGAATTGATATTTTAGTTTCGATTCAATTTGATTAATTGGTTATAACACAATCTTGTTCTATTCTAATTGTAACTCTTTTTGAGGTTGCAGCGGGCATTTGATTGTGGGATCTCCTTTTTTTTTTTTTTTTTTTTTTTTTTGGCTGGGCGAGAATAGACTCTTTAGTGTTACATAAACTATTGATCCAAAAAATTATTGAATATTTCCGATATCCTGTACTCCTATGATTCAAGGCCCACGGAGGCCTTGCGGTTTCCTTGGAAATATCACATTTACAAAAGCCCAAAGTAGAAATAATCCAATATGAAAATTTTGGACTATCCCATTAGGCTCTTGTAAGTAGTAAGCCTCAAACTCAGGCCTGACAATTAATTAAAAATGTGCCCAAATCCATATATATTGTGGGGTCGTTGTTTCTTTCTTTCTTTCTTTTTTTTTTTGTTTTTTCAATTATCATTAGAGTCTAGAATCATAACGGTTAAGCTCGCGGCGTTTTAGAGAGAGAGAGCGGAGGAGAGATGATATGTCACAATCACAGTGGTGGTGCTATGGTAGTGCTTTGCAGGCCTGTATTGAAGAAGCCTATGTGCCTGGCTTCCAACACAGACCAGCTTCGCACCCAACTCGATCAACTTCATGCTGAAGCCGAAACCACCAGAGCCAAAGGTTCCATCCATTCTTTCTTTATCTATTTCAATTTTATTCATTTCATTTTTATTTATTGTATTTTTTGTGACCGTTAAATATAGCAAATAGTGCGAGATTGAGACTTATGCGATTATCAGAGGCAGCAGAGAAACTAAAACGACGGGCTTCTATTAGTGTTAATTCTGGAAAAGAAAATGATGCAAGGGAAATGCTTTTTCAAAAGAAGAAAGTTATGAAGGCCATGGAAAGCTCAAAAAATCGAATTGAATTGCTTGATCAGCTCTCTTCTAAACTTAATCAGGTACTGATTTTTTCTTTTCTTTTCTTTTCCTTCCTAATTCACATCATTTTTTTTTGGGATAATCTAAAAGTCGTTGCTTAGCTAAAATATATTTCATTTCAGGTGATTTCTCTAAAAGAAAGCCAGCTGATAGGGAATGTGGCTTTCGATCTTGAAGTTGACACCGAAGATGATTCGAGCCCGGTTCGGATTGTTTCTCCTAAGCTGGAAGTTACAGACTTCGGCTCTGATGATGACCTGAAATTTAGTGATGGTCAAGACTCGCAGTTTTGTGCCAATGGCAAAACAAGCGTGCCGATTGATGAGGAAGAGGGATTCGTTTGCGGGGACATTTGTAATGAAGAGGGCATAATGAGGGGTTTGAAGGATATATCCTCGTATGAGGACTTCTTGGGACATTTGGATGCGCAGCTTAATAAAATTGAATCAGAACTTGTCACCATTTTGAATGTCTCAGCCTTGGTACTGAATGATAATGAGAAGCCTAATAATTTTAAGGTGCAGCAATCGATAGAGCTTCTTGAGAGTGTCCGTGCTATTAGGCAGAAGTAAGTTTATTATCAACTTTATGATTGGTGTTATCTTATGGGCATTTTCTCCTTTCACCTTTTCAAAGATTTGATGACAATAATGGTCGTGTGTTGGAGATGGCATCTGAGTTTGTCTGTCTTTGCAGAATCTCAAGGATAATGCAGAGGAAGGTGGAAACCAGTTAAAGTCTCAATTATCGGTCCGTTTTCATCTGGCAGGTGAGGGCTAATTGACTTTCAAAGTGGTGATGTTACCTGAAGGGTGCAAATTTTGAGTATCGAGGCATAGCTGCCATGCATCCTCGTATGAAAGTTTATGTTTTATAAATAAGGTCTTTGTGTTTTCTAGTGTCTATTTTTTGACCAAACTAAGGTGCCTAAACTTGGAATTGGAATGACTATGAGCATTTCCCATTAGCTGTTCTTTTTTTTAAAAAAAAAAAAAAAAAATCTGACCTTATGAATCTTGTGCTGTTATGCAATGAAATAATTTTCTTATCACCTTCAGTGAGTAGTTCGTTTGCTTTCAAGTACTGTTTCTGGAAGCCAAATGCTTGTCACCCTTTGATATAAGGTGCCGGTTCCCATTACTATTTCTCCATCCTCCCTCTATGGCTACTTCTGCTTGGTTGACCAGCTGAAAATGGCCTTCAGTAGAATATATTTAGTTCTTGAGAGACATTATTGCTCAAGTTGTCATGATAGGAGAAATACTCGTAAGGTTTCTTTGTCGGCAATAATAAGCAAATTGGAGAGTGGAAACGTCCAAATCTCTTACATCAGCACCCACCCAAAATGGAACGGATGTCTTTTCCTCTTCCAGTGATTTTCTTATTTCCATCTTCTGTGGTTCATATGGCCCCAAATGTAGATGCTAACTTCTCCATCTTAAGCTTCTTCTTTACAAGCCATCAACCACAAAGTCCAAGCAACATGCTGCTCGATATTGAGATAAACTTGAAACGATTATGCAGACTTGAATTTAAACCATTATGATTTTTTTTTTCTAATTGGCATTTGTAATGATTGCTGCTCTGAATTACAGTTGCTAGGAAAAATTGGAGACAAATCTCGGAACCAGCATGTCGTGAAGCTCCCTGGACTCATACAAGGCCGTTGATTTGTTTAACATTGAAGGTTTGCCACTGCGAATGCCATGCAATCTTTTATTGTGACAAAATTGAAGAAATTTGTTGGTGAGTTGATGCTGCATTAGGATGGGTGCACTTTATTTTCTGTCACAATGTCCACAATATGCAACTCAGATAATTCTTTTTAGCTAGTGTGCAATAGAGAGTAGCAAAACACGCACTGATGAATCTGTAGGTTTACAAAGCCATGTGAATGACTGGACCCTTAACTTGAGGGGACGAAAATGCAACTTTTGTGACAGTTGCTGCTGTCCTATTAATTATAGCAATCAAAATTCGAGAGTTCTTACATGTATAATTTTTTTTTCTTTCTCCTACAGCAATTAAGCAATTGACAAACTAAAATTTGAACAAAAAATGAAATTATAGATCTTTGCGTGCAAAAAGAATAGCTCTTGTTTGTCGTAACCAATTGACCAACTTCATGCCTGTAGGAAATTGAACTTCGGTCGGGGTACCATCTGGCTTGTTGTACATTACCTTTCTTATCCGTTTTTCTTTTTCCTTTACGCTAGAGGATTTCAAGTCCTGCCTATTACCAAGGCAAAATCTGGATGGCCTGTTCCAATGGCAAAACTTGTCTCTAGTCACTTTCCATGAGATCAGCAAGAGTGATTTTGCCGCAGTTGGTACTATATATTGAATCAAATTGGTTACAGATTTGCAGGATGTCTTTCTCTGCTATTTTCCCCATCTCCTTAAGCTTGTATATAACAAATTCAGATTTGCTGCAACCATAGAAGAAACCAACAAGGCACATTAAGAACATGTTTGAGCAAATTGCAGTGGAATGTCTTACTATTGTGATGGTTGCATTGAAATCTTAAACATGCTGCATAATCTGATTCACAAATTCCAAAAATGGCTAAATATCTGATCAATTAGTGCTTTTCAACATCTACAAAGTTTTTGGCTGAAACAGGAAGGTTGTGCTTCTGAGTACTGTTATCATCATTCAAAATGTTTGGGAAGCACGAAGGTTTTGCAGTGGAAGCATTCTGTACATTCAGATAATTGTCTATCCATCTTATGTTAATAGGCACATGTTATTCTGATGCTGGTCGTCTAACTGGACAAATTCTCTTTAGGCTTGGCCATTGCACCAAGTTGTTTCATCTGTATCTGTTTCTCCCTTGAATGTGAATATTCACCACAATAGGCCAAGCTCCATTACAATTTGGAATTGAATATACACCTTTTCTTTTAGCTTACAGCAATGGCAACTCTTAATTTCTATCTTGATTGGCTGAAACTGCATTGAAAAACCCTACTGGAAAATGGACTAGGTTATGACATTCTGCATTTGTTCTTTCCAAATGCATTGCACTCAAAACTATTGCAATTAATGATTGAAATTGTTCATTTTCTGCTGTAACCACACTACATTATGGCTGTGCCATAGTCTATCTACTCTGAGGACTGGCCTTGCAATTTTCAACTATAACTTTAGGGACATCCCCAATAACAATTAAGATATAAGCTATATTCATGCTTCGTTCTTCCTGTGTCAGTGTTGCGTGATAGTTATGCAAACCTAAGAGAAACCCTGTGTTTATTTATATCATAACACCACATTGTTCTGTCTTTACCCAACAATGCTTGTTTATTTATGGTTTTCTTCAAATATGCACGCACAAGTTATTGATTGAAATCAAGTTGAGAGGGAGAAGTAAAAGATTATAACAGCTTGTGAAGGATGATTAGGATTTTGATCAACCCAGCTTTAATTAGAAATCTTTTATAGAAAATCATGAACATTACCTGATGGATCCATCATTATCGAGGTCTGCAGCTACTAGATCGCCCAGTGTCATCTTTTTCTGAAGAACCCATTTTGCAATCCGACGATTCCTCCTGTCAATCCTTAGTTCAGCCAGGTACAGAAATGCCCTGGCAACCGCCAATGTGCTTACTAATAGCCAAATAATGGCAAAACATCTTCCAGTGATGGTCGTGAAAGCGAAATCCCCGTAGCCCACAGTTGTCACAGAAGTAACAGCCAGATAGAAACTATCAACCCAATCCAACTTCTCCAGGTAGTGCACTGTAATGGTTCCTACAGCAATGCAAACAATGACAACAGCCGAAGCCAAGACCACTTTCGTTCTGATTCTCATTCTTCCTTTAGCTTTGTCTATCATGTAAGCTTGGACCAAAGTGCTGGACTTACCCTCATCCATGGTGCTTAACAGAATTGCCTCTTGCTTATCACAAATGTATGTGACTAGTCCATTTAGCAAAATATCGATGAAACCAAAACCAATCAAAATGAAAGCACAGGTAAACAACTTGGTAAATGTTGAATTTGGAACTATATCACCGTAGCCGATGGTGCTAAGTGTAACCACTGTGAAGTACAAGGCATCTACAGGCTTGAATGTTACAGTACCCCTGAAGCTACCACTGACAAGGAATATCAACACAACAACCAATACATACAAGACTACAGCAACAAAAGCCTGCCGAACAATCAAAGGAGTTGATTTTGGGCTAGGTCTGGGGTCGAAAGAATCTGTAAAAGTCTCCCTGGCATCTGTAAACAAAGATGGAGCAGAATAAGATCGATGAGTGCGTCTTGCTTTCTTTTTGTTCAAATTGGCTATGAGATTTACATATGAAGAAGATTTTGGTGTTGTGATGATGGGGATAATGGCATCATTAGTGACATGGTGTGCCGTCGATTGACGTAGAGACTGTCCAAGATCAAGGTAACTAGAGGGGAATTCTCTTCTTGGTGGACACCTGCTGGACTCTCCTGCTATATTACTGGAGAGAAAAGGCTCATCCATGTTAAATCAACATGATTTTGAGATGGGGAAAACGGTCTTTGGTTTTCCATTCTAGAGATATTCTTGTTTTCCAAAACGTTATAACACTTTTCCAACAACAAGTCAATACACTTAAGGGTAGGGTTCTGGTTTCGATGTTGTTTCATCTAACAGTCAAAATGTAGCAAATTGCTATTTTTGCATGTTATTAAAAATGTCACTCACGTGTATGGCATTGTTGAGAAACATTTCCAAACAATTGACTTAGCTTTTTTTTCGTTTAAAACCATTAGACCATTGGATAAAACCGATTCCATCAACCAAGTTAAGACCACCACCTCAATCCCATTCTGTTATAAGTTGCTGTAATTAGCAGATTCGCATGTAGAATGAGAGAAGGATCACAACCTTGAGCTTGCTGCACAAACTAGAAAAATGATCATAGCACATAAATGGACCGAGGAATTAGTTGTTTAAAGATGCCCACCCGCAGAGAGGTCAGCTAGGTCATGGTACATTTAAAGCCCACTCATAGACCACGAGTCCGTCTAATTTTGTTTTCGCGTGAAAGCGGCGAGTACAAGGATGACAAACATGTTCACAACCCTAATATTCAATTCCAGCCTAACCACGCACTTCCTTGCAAATGCATTATCCATTTTTTTTAATGCTTTTATTAAAGTTAATCGCGAGGCAAAGTTTGGACATCATCTCCTTTTTTAACAAATTAAAGTTTTAATTATTAAATTATAGAGACTGATGTGAATATGATCCGTAATTTAATATGTTATGCAAAATCAATACGAATAAACCTTCGAAAATTTTATAGAATATTAAACTAAGTGTATAAATTCATAAGGTTTTTTTTTATTATAACCTTATTTATCTCTACTAAAAATATGAACATTATCTCTTGTGTTTATAGTTGATTAAAAACTCTAATAAAAATTTTTAATGTAACAATGAACTGAATACATTATCGAACTGCATAAATTTTACATCAAATGATTGCTGATATCTTTTTTTTACTCGATTGGTTTGTTAACATTCTATTTATCTATCCAGATATAAAATTTCGGCTCCCTTGCAAAACATAAGTTAGTGATTCATTATTCACTTAAAAAGCTAATTAACAAATTAACCTTTTAAAAAGAACGTGACAGTTTCACCCATCCAACAAAGGTTAAAGTTATTTGATTTTTAAGTTTATGGGTTATTTTAGAGGCAATCCTTTGAATATACGACAAATTGATGAATTTTCCTAATTAGATAACTTGTCAGTGATGGGCATCTTGCTGGATAAGGTCTTCTTACCATGATCATCGGGGGGTCATCCTACAGTTGACCATCGTATAATGAATTTGTATGTACAAATAAATAATTGTTTGTAAAATATTTTCTTGTATCTTTTATTTTAAAAATATTTAAATGCAAAATAAACGGATCCATAATTGCATTTTCAATTATGTCAAAACTGAACATTTGTACCTATGGTTGGAATTCAAAAGGAAAATAAAAGCAAAGGAAAGAAAACAAAATATTAATAAAAATTGAAATTGGGAAAGCTCAGATATATTAATTAGAGATATTTTTCATTTTCCTGCGGTTGAAAAGGATGAAACTGAATCCAAATCAACGTCAACTTTTGTATTTTTTTTAATTACTTCTCATTAAAGTATATTTTGCAAAAAGAATTACTTAAATGCAATTCTAAAAAAAAACATATCTCACGAAATATGAATAAAAAATATTAATAAAGTATAATAATTAATAATATTTTTAATTTATATGAAAAATTAAAAAGAACAATTTCGATAAACAAGCAGGAGTACGTACTGTTTTCTTTTTCCTATGGTTGGTGGAAGAGATAACACAATATTTTAGACACCACTAGTTAAATACCCATGCTACGCTATAGTCAAATAACTCGTTAAATACGTAGGGTTAACGATTTGTATGGTATAATGTAAATGAATATTTTATTTTTGGTGATTAATGTAGATCGAATATATTGAGCGAAATCGTTTGATTTATATATATTTATTAATAAAATATTTAATAATATTAGCATAAAAATTTATATTTCAATAATTAGAAGGTTCTTTCAAAACATTATCTAACTTATTTCAATTAAAAAATTTAGAATATGAAAAAAATAAATAACAAATAATTAGTATTATGTGTATAGATATATAGTTAATTTGTAATATATATATGTGTGTGTGTGTCATGGTTAACATATTCAAAATATATAGAAAAAATAAAAAAATATACAAAAGAAAAACCACCTAAAATATATGAAATATAATGAAGTCAATAGATTAAAATAAAAACTATAAAAAAATTGGTTATGATAAATTCTAAGTAAATATATATATACAAAAACACAAGTATATAGAGTAAATAGAAAAATATACGAAAAAAATCAACCTAAATTATATGAAATATATTGAAGTTAATAGATTAAGATAGAAACTACCACAAAATTGGTTATGCTAAATTCAAAAAAAAATATATAAAAAAAGCAAATAAAACTTATAATTTTTTAATTGATTATTATTTAAAAAAAAATTGAGTCAAACTATTTAAAACATACTTTTAGCTCTCTCTCTCTCTCTCTCTCTCTCTCTCTCTCTCTCTCTCTCTCTATATATATATATATATATATATATAATCGAATTTATAAATTACAATAATATATTTAAAAAAATAAAACACCGGTGTTATAAAATTTTATTCCAAAATTTATATATTAAAAAATAAAATTATATCAAAAAATTAATTTGATAATAATTTTAATAAAAAACAAATAATTAAAGAAATAAATTTTAAACAAAAAGACTAATATAATAAAATATATATATCTTCAAACTAAAATCTTAAAAAATATTATATATATTTTATCATCTTCAAATTATATGTAAAACTAAAAAAATAACTATTTATCTTTTATATTTTTCACTCCTAATTTTATGATTATATATATATATATATATATATATATGGAAAAAAAGAAAAAGAAAAAGAAAAAGAAGGCCAGGCGTGAGCTGCCAAAGAAAAGAGAGCCAGGTGCAGCAGGCCCAAGCGCCAGCAGCCTAGGCCGTTCAACCCAGAGCAAAAAAAAAAAAAAAAAAATTACAGTAAATAAATAGTAACAATATCAGATTGTTTAGTTTTTTTTTTGTAATAAGTCCATAAGTTACGAAAATTGAAAAAAGAAACCACCTCACAACCCAAACAAAACTTTACAAACTCTCACAGTCGTATCCGTTACAACATCTACACCGTAAATTAAATATCTCAAAATATCTCTTTCTCTGGACCCAATAGATTCTCCTATGCTACGAATCGAACGGCAGATAATGTATCGTGAGAAAAACAAAACTAAAAGCGTGTAAGATTAACACTATAACTCAAAAAGAAAAAGAAAAAGAAAACTGCTTATTCTTCTAATAGAAACTACTATAAATTAAAAAAGAAAGAAAGAAAGAAAGATTTATTGGCAGTGAGTGAGAAAGAATAGGTTTTTGTTCTGTTTTGCGTCATCTTATAATCCAAAAGGAAGGAAGAAGCCGCAAACACACAAACACAAACAGATAGAGGAGAAGAGATGGTGAGTGAAAGTAAAAACAATGGCGGAGTCATGCAGATGCCGGCGGCGTCAAAGAAGGTAGTGCAGAGTATTAAAGAGATTGTTGATAAGAATTGTACGGACACAGAGATCTACCTAGTGCTTTGCGACTGTAATATGGATGCTGATACCGCCATTCAAAAACTCCTCTCTCAAGGTTTTTTGAATTTTTCGTTTTTTTCTTTTTAGTATTTTTACTGCGTCTAGTGAAAACTACAGAAATGGCATTGAGTGGAGCTAAGAGTTTTTTTGTAAAAAAAAAAAATGTCTTTTGGCTGGTTTAGGGATTTGAAAGTTGAAACTTGTAGTTCTTTTTTTTTTTTTCCTTAATTATTTTTGTGCAGTAGTATTCTCTGTTGAATTCTGTTTGGTTGTAGGGAAAGCTGAACGAAATAATAAATTATCGTTTTTTTTATTATATGAGGAAAAAGTTCGTATTTGTTTTTTTCTACTTTTCTTTTCTTTTTTTTTTTTTTTTTTTTTTTTTTGGTATGTTATGAGAAAACGGCAAGTCGCTAATGCAGTTGCATCATATTACATTTTAGAAAAAGAAACTTTAAATTCTTTTTCCGGTTTTTATTTACAATATGCCGCAACGCATTAATAAATGTTGATGATTTTGTCGTTACTATTGTCTTCTAGAGTATGGATATATGTTGAACTGAATTTAGTTTAGTGAAATTTATGCTTTCTTTTATAATCGTTTTTGTGGTCTAGTGTGATCTCGCCTGCAGAGATAGAATGAAAGATTGTAAATAAAAAGTTCTCGTGGTGGGCAGTGTGTAACGTTTATACTCACTAAATTATGTACCAGAAGTTTTTCTAGTTGTATTTAGCTTTAGTGGCTTAATTTAGGGTTTACAGTATCTTGTTGTTGACAATCCACTTCTTTTGGTTGATCTAATTCATTTTTACATGTAAAGTTTAGTGACAGTTTTTGAAGTCCTTAATAAATTAGCATTTTCTTTGTGTAGATACTTTTCATCAAGTGAAGAGCAAACGTGGAAGAAGAAAAGAGGTACCTTATGAAAATAAGAGCTTATTTTTTTTATCCTTTTTTGGGTTACGGGATTGTATGCTTTCCATGTCAACAGATTATAACTGTTGGCATGTGAAGTGTGCAAAACAGAAGGTTTATTGGCTGTTTGTGATCATTGATGATTTCCTAAATATCGCTTATAAATTTACCTGTTTAGCGTAAAGATTGTTTTTAGGCTGAATTTTATTCATCTGGGATTTGGGAATTAGTGTTAACAGCTGTTGAATTTTTTTTTTTTAAGCATATTTCTGCTGCTTGGTTTTATAGTTAATTATATTCTGAAGTATTTCTCTCTGTACTTTTTTAGTGGCCTTATTAATTCTGTGTTGCGCCAGATCAATTAGCACACTATATTTGGTATAACATCAACATGCTTGCTTTATTCTCCTTACCATGGACTAGTGGTTTTGTTCATGCCTTAAATATTTTTTTATATTATTTTTTAATATTATAGATTGCATTTCTACAGATGAAGGAGACACAAGAATCAAAGGCTCGGGATAATAACAATGGTTATCGTGGAGTTAAAGTTGGTGGTGAATATAATGTTGGACATGTACCGTCTCAATTCAGCTATAACGGTGTGTTTATTATATTGAACAATGTCAGACGCTTGTGGTGGATGAATTGGTGATATTGAGTTGGATTTGATATTGCATATTCTTACTACCTGAACTTGTATCCTCCTGGCAGACCTTGGTAAAGCTGCATATAGGAAAGAGAATGGGTTGGTTGCTACTTTGGAGCCTTCTTCATCAACTTTGATATATCGTGTGAAAACATCAAATGAGCAGCCTTCATCCAACAAGTTAGTTCTATTACGAATTCAAGTCAATTGATCTCTAGTATGCATCTAAGTTATAATAACAGATTATCAATTACTAAACTAAAAATATCAATGCTTGATTGTCTTCATTTTTGTTTCATGAATAGTTTAGGCGGAGTAACTAAAAAAAATTAAGTAATTTGTTCAACTAGTCTCAGTATTCTAAAATGACATATTTGCTTCCCAGTCTGTCTTATGTCGAGTTTCCTCTCGTTTCAGCTGGCAAATGTTGTTTTATTAGGTCCTTAATATCTTCATATCAACTTTAAACATTGGACAACACCACAGAAGTTTATGTATGGGTACATGTGAATACATGTATATATCTACCTCTCTATATGACCTGTCTGTAGTCATGTATAAGGTATGTGTTTTAGTTCATTCTTTCCATCCGATTTCCACTATGCACAATGTTGCTTTCTTTTTTCAGATCTCACAGACATCTTTACTCCTTTTTCTTGAAATGGTGTGAGATTAGAAGAAACTCATATTTGCACCTTCAAATGCACAGGGTCCTGCTGCCTTCCTTTTAAGTTCAACTATGATAACAATATTCCTTATTTGCTAGTTACATGCTATATTATCATTCGAAACAGTGTATTATGGGAATCGGGTCCCTTATTTGAATTAACAGGCAGTATCTTTACAAGAAATGAGAAAGGGGAAAGTATTGAAAAGGCATAGGTTTTTCCAAATAGAATATAGCATTGCCTAGCCCAATTTAGAGGTTTGAAACTTTCATATAGATGAGAAGCATGAAAATTCTAATCTTTTCCAAGAGGATGCTTTGATCACAACATTGCATTTGGTCTTCGGAGACACTTTTTTGACACTTTTTGTTTTTTTTGATGTTTTTCTTAAATGTCCAATCTTATTGCATCATTTGAACACTTTTTATTGAATATTTCATTATCTCTTTGGATTGATCTTGAAAATTCCACTGCAGTGATTCTTGCAATGCTGAAGACAGAAGGAAAGCTACAGGAAGTGGTGATACCATTTCTTCATCTGTGCAACTGTCATCAGGAACTCAAGCTGCTTGGTCAGGAGGTACCTCAGGACATGTTTCTATGGCTGACATTGTTAGGATGGGTAGGCCGCACAACAGGGGTTCCCAAATTCCGATGGAGACATCTTATACACCTCAAGATGTAGTAGATAAAGTAAACTCATCCCAGCACCGTCGTAAACCTTCATGTGATTCTTCTTCCTCCCCACCAGAAGTGCACCAAGGTCTGCAACGTCCACATATGTCTCGGGTGTCCGAGACAATTCACGAGTCTGGTCTTAAAGCAAGCTTTCATGATGAATGGCCTGTTTTTGAGCAGCAAACAGCTGCTGATGGGTCATTTACCTTTAATGTGTCTAATACCTCCAGCACCGAGATGTTTTCTAATCAATCTTATTTCTTTGGTGATGGAACGAATTTGACTGAAGATCACAAATTAGAGGATGTCCAAGTATCAGGGAGGGATGCTGCTAACAAGAATCCAGGTTCTTATTGTGCTGAATCTGCTTTTCCATGTAGAAGACAGGAAAATGTGAGTAGTGCTGTAGGTGGTTCTCGATGTGGTGATGGGTTACTGAAGGACATAACTCATGATTCTTGGAGAAGCATGAATGATCATCGGGAAGGTAATTCACATGTTTTTAGTTTGATGCTAATATCTGTTTCTCCTTTCCACATAAATTTGAGTGATGCCATGCCAGACAGTTGTCATGCATGCTGAGCTATTCCTTGATGCACCATTCAGTTGCAGAAGAATTTGAGAATGCCGATTTACATTTTTTGAAAAGCATATGGTGTTACAATTTACATATATCTTGCAGATCTATTAAGTTCCTGGGGTATTAAAAGAGACGAAAAAATATGCTATATCTGTTATATTTAACCTGACCCGTTTGATTTTACTAAGTATTTTGGATATAGCAGTTACAATTTCAAATATTGAGAAACAGATATGATGGGTTGGTTTGAAGGTCCTATACCTGTCCCAACCCTTATGGTTGCATATGCATGTATCCCTAGTAAACCTAGCTTACTCCATGTAAATGCATCATTTGTTTTGAACCCACTTCTCTGCCGCCACTCACAATCCAAAAAGTTTCAAGAACCTTATCAATCCCTTCATCTCTTCTCCTTGTTACAACCCAAAAGACCCCAAGTTAAACCCCAGATCTTCAAGAAACCGAAAAATTCCAAATCCTCCAATGGTATGCGTGCAAGACTATATTAACCATTTTTATGAACCTGCTGTAAGCTTTGTCTGCAGGATGTCTGCAATTCTGCATAATGTGCCAAAGTAGATGCACCAGGAGTAAATCATGTTTTTTTGTTTTCATGAAGTGAAATTGTTTCGGTTAGTTTATAAATGCTGAAGAGATGTGAATGTATTCTGCAATATCAAGTGTAAATGGAATTTGGTGTGGTGGTGATTGAGGGAAAGTTTTAATTAGCTCATACATCTAATAGGAAAGGATGTTGTAGTTTCAGTTACTCTCATATATTAATTAGATACAGATGTATGCACTCATACAACCCAAGTTCAGGGTAAGTACTTAAGCAGTGAGCTCTGAAACAGTTTTATTAGTTGTTATGTTTTGAGTTCATGTCATCAAGTGATGATACTACATCATTATCCTAACTTAGTTTCCAATGGTTATGATAGATCGGATGATAATACTATTTAGGTAATGGTTTATTTAATGAGATAGTTGTATTTTCTTTTATTTAACACTCCAAATAGAGTCTATTATAATCCTTACTTCTTTCTTCTTTCCTTGTCCCCTCACCATGAATTTTAGGAACTGGAAGTGGCTTCCATTTACCTTTTCCAAATGGTGCTGCACCTTTGAATGATGAGGTATTTTCAGCTACTGTGAACTTGCAGCAGCTAAGTTTGGGGAAGGAGGAGCCCGAAGTGCCTCCATCTCAGGATAATCATGCAGTGTTGTTTCCCGAGTATATGCAAGCCTTAGCTGCGGACTGCTCACATTTGAGTTTTGGTACATACAAATCTGGGCCTTATAATGCAGTTTCTGGGCCACTAGAATCAACTTCCATAAAGACCGACTTGGAGGAGATTAGGCATGAGTCTTTCAGCTTATTTCCAGTATTTAGTACTTTTTCCGGTATTTAGTACTTTGTCTGCTTTCATTGCCCCATTATATTACCTGCTTTCTTTTGGTGCAGAAATCCAGAGGACCTTGGTGAGATCCTTCGAGATGAGCAGCTTGGATCCATGTCTGCTACACATCGATTAACTGGAGGTGTTGTGATTCATAAAATGCCTGTATATTCAGAGCCAGAGCTTTTGAGACAAAACATTCATGAAGAATCCCATGGGTGCGAATACACCCATCCATCATCTGTACCTGATTCCAATTTTAAGGAACCCCAAGAGCTGGGTTCCTTGGGTGTTAGGATACATCCAAAAGCTAGGAACCTTTCTTCTCTTCACATGGAACTGGTAATAATACTTACAATATTTTGTTGTTGTTCTGTGTTTACCATGCTGGTGACTTCAATTAATGAGTGGGAATTATTGATCTAGAATGCTGTCTCTTAGCTTCATTATTTAAACACAAATTTATTGGAGAAGCTCTTGTACTGTTTTCTGAATTTACTTATTAAACTGCTGAAAAGAAAAGATTGGGTGCTTGTCATTTCTTTCCTTGTAAATGCTGTCTCTTTCCTGTGTTTTGAGATTGACACTCAACTAAATTTGTTTATTGTCCCTTTTTTTTGGGGCTTGGATTTTTCCTTTTCTTCCCTCGGTTTCGTTGCTTGTTCTTGGAATTAGTCTTGCATGACATTCGAACAATGAAGATGAAAATTATGATGCCTATTTATTTCATGTGGAGATTCCTTGATTTTTTTTTTTTTTTTTTTTTTTTTTGGTTTTCTTCTGTTACATAGTAGTCCTCTTTGATGTCAAATGGTTATAGAAGAGCAGTTTTTGCACTTCTAATTTTCCATCATCAGCTGTTAGAAAATGTGGTTTATGGAGACATTATTTTCCATCTTCATCTTTTGCTATTCTAGCTGCTGGGTGTTGATTCACTTTCTCTGAACTTTGAATTGCTGTATTTAGTAAACATGGACTGTTAGATCCTAATCTCGAACATCCTGTTGCAGCAAGCAAGTTCAACAACTTTACCAATGGATTTGCTGGCATCAACTATTCAATCTTCAAGAGATTCTGATTATGCCAAGTCATCTTTCCTTGGAACCCAATCAATGCCCTTGAGATTTGGTAGTACTGTATCATACACCAGCAATCCATCCATCTCCCAGTCAGAGGTGTGTAAGAAATATTTGTTGAATTTTGAATTTGGTGACTTTCTGTATTTGTTCCTGCATAATTTATGAGCGTTTTAAGTTTCTTTCTGCTTTAAAGAAAAAGGGTGAAGTAAGGGTTGCAGAAATTTCTCTTTGATGAATCTCTGAGTAGATTAATGGAGAATCATGGACCTCCGAATTCCAGACTTCTATAACTATATAAACTTTTTACGCTTGATGTGCAAATGAAAGATTAGACTGCATATAGATGGTTAAATTTTGATTTTAAGTGTAGTCATGTTAATTGATTTTGGTATAAACTATATTATGTCAGTGTGATATAAATAGATTTGATAAACTATAGTTCATAAAACCTTTGCTTTATGGTTTTGGTATGATCAATTGGTGCAATTTGTTATTTTTTCTTTTATGGCTGTTTGGCATCTAGCCCATTACTGTTACATGTGAACTATAGATTTGTTCCATTGCAGTGCTAAGAACCGCAGAAGTCAAATGCAACAAATCTAATATTTCTTCTTTTGTGCTTGTGAATGTTAAGGTTACGAGTCCTAGAGCCTTTTCTCTACCTATGTCATATTCGCCAACACTGCCTGGTGCTACTATTGCCCCACAACCAGCACTTTCTCATCATCTTTCAGCAAATTTATACTCTCAACCTACTGTTTCCTTGGAAGGGCTGACCAATTTGACAGGCTATCCCGCTGTGCCTCAGAACTATGCTAGTAATCCATCTGCTGCTTTTCATCAAGCCTATCAAGATAGCAGTGTGTTCCATGATTCCTTGTCAAGCATGGGCTACAGCCACCCACAATACAGAACAGGTGCTTCCAGGAGCAATTTGTCCTCATCTGAATCAAACATGTCTGGTTATGGAGGTTTTGTGAGCGCCGCCAACTTTCCTGGATCTGTTTTGCAAGCTGCTGCCCCAATTGTTTCTGCAGGTGGCTATGATGTTTTGCATTCTCAGTATCAAGAGAGAAATAATTACACGACACTTCATCAGGTAATGGCAATAGGAGAATTTTTTTTATTTCGCTTTGTCACGTGACTTATGTAAACTCTCCAGTCTATCTTCAGTACTAAAGGAAGAATTTTTTAATTGATTGTCCTTCGCTTTTTTGTTTCTTTCTTCGGAAAAAAAAAAAAACAAACAGAATGATGGCTCTTCAAGAATGATGTCAGCTCTCCCAGACAATGGACATTTCGGTTTGCAAGGACATGGTCAACTGCTTTCTGGATATCCACACGGTCAGCAGCAGCTGTCACGGGATTATAGGTCCCTATGGCAATTGAATAATTATCAACAAGGTCAGCAGCAGCTCTCACAGGAGTATGGTGCTCTATTTCATGCAAAGTCTTATCACTCTCAAGCCGGAATTCCATCAGAACAACCACATCAAAGCCATATTGACCTTAGTTTTAGTAGTTCCCAAGAAGGGTCAGCGCCTAAGCAATTGCAACAACTCTGGCAGCAGAGCTACTAATGGTCCAAGTTTATCATCTAACTGAGTACACCACTTGGGCTGAACCGCTGCTGATGGTTTCTGTAGCTCTTTGTAGAGAATGAAAAAGTGGCAAATTAGGTTTGTTTTGCAGTTAAAAATTTATTGATGGTTTTGAGGGTTTGGCTAAGTCCGAATTGTACATGCTCTAACTAGCTTTGTCCAGTGCCTCAATATTGTATTTACCTAATTTATTGGGGCACGATGGTTTTGAGATTTAGCTTGCTAATGTGAATCTCCTCAATACGAAAGTAACCACGCTTTTGTTTCACGCTAATAGTATAGATATGATTCTGCTTTACCAACATAATTCACTCACTTTTTAATGCCGGTGCCTTTTTTTCTTTTCCAAATGGGGTTTCCTGCTAAAACCTCCCTTGAAAATGACAGCATTCGAGGTCATGAAAATCTTGAGGGGGTATCTTTTAATTAATTTATGACCGACTCAAATGATTTGACATAAGCATAATAATTTATATGAGAAATAGATATTTGCTCTGGAAGGCAATTGACGTGAAGGACATGCCAGTTGGGAGGTAGGCAGAGTGAGGAATGCATATAAACTACTTGAAAAAGGTTGGTGCCACTTAACTATCTCCTAATCCTGATCATTCTTTTGGGTTCATGCAATAAATTTATTTGCACAAAATCTTCTACTTAAACTCAGACTCCGAGCACAGTTCCTGCGTATTCTTTTGTTTGTGAATGGCTGGAGCTACAGATCTAACAGTCACTTCTGTTGGGTTTGAAAGAATCATGGAACGAAACCAAAACCAAGAATCGGAGAAGGGGAATCACCACAGGCCAAGCATAGAAGCCATCCTTATGGCTCCAAAGTTGCCGAAGGCATTGCCACCGGTTTCTTCCGCACCTGAGCGTGAAACTATCAGGCGTCCTCGTGGCAGGCCAGCTGGCTCAAAAAATAAGCCAAAACCTCCTATTATTGTCACTCGAGATAGTGCTAACGCACTCCGTGCCCATGCAATGGAGGTGAGCTCCGGTTGTGATGTGGGTGAGAGTCTAGCTAACTTTGCAAGAAGGAAGCAGCGTGGAATATCTGTACTGAGTGGGAGTGGGTGTGTAACCAATGTTACCCTTAGACAACCATCTTCATCTGGGGCAATCGTGACCCTTCATGGGCGGTTTGAGATACTCTCGCTGATTGGATCTGTCTTGCCCCCACCTGCTCCGCAAGGGATCACGGGATTAACCATCTACTTGGCAGGGGCTCAAGGGCAGGTTGTGGGTGGAGGCGTAGTTGGTGCACTCATTGCTTCAGGCCCTGTTGTGATCATGGCTGCATCATTCATGAATGCAACTTTTGATCGTTTGCCACTGGATGACGATGAAATTACTGCTGCTGTGCAGAATCAGCATTACCAAAATGGTCGCCACCATCACCTTGATATTTCAGATTTATACGGAATGCCACCGAACTTGCTCACCAATGGTGCTGTGACCCCGGAGATATATTCTTGGGCAGCAGGGCGAACCATGTCAAAATCCTAGTTAGCAGCAAATCTTCTAGTCTCTCATACCGGAAAATCTTTTTATTCTTCAATGTTGTGTCATTTCACTAATGTTTTCAGGCTCCCTTGTCAGAGCAGTTATCTATTACTTGGCATGAACTCTTTATTTTTCTATCAGTTTAGAGTAGCTTTAAAACACAGTGCAAGGTTCACATATTATACGAAATTAGATGCCCCTTTAAAATATGGCCTTGTGTTTGGATTAAAAGAAATTTGCAAATTAGTGATGATCATTAAAATTTGTAAAAAGCTACTTCATCGTTGCGGTGGAGTTCAACCACCAGTATCAACACGCATCCTAATATAATATATTTAAACAGAGAAATATTGGACTTATGGGACCCGAAAGAACCAATTTCTCTCATGATATAATCCATTAGAACAACAATCTTATTTGGTTCATATTTCCCATCCTATCCCATCTCCTTCAATACCAATCCCAAATCATCCAATGCATGGTAGATTTCTTTGTATCTTGGGTGCAGCCTTCCCCCAGCAACAAATTCGTGAACTTCGCCATTCACTTCAATCAAACTACATCCAGGTTCTTTGTATATCTGCTTTTCTTTCAAAGAAAGCCTTTGCTCCATTGCTTCTTCAAAATGACTATAGCCAGCATAAACGTTTGACAGAAGTACAAAACTTGAGCTGTCATTGGGATCCAACTCATTCGCGTGCTTCGCTGCTCGTTTTGCCATCTCAATGTTTCCATACTTCATGCAAGAAGAGAGTAAAGACCCCCATATGACGGCATCTGGATTTACAGGCATGCTTCTTATTAGCCCTTCTGCCTCTTCTAGGAGTCCTGCTCGGCCTAGAACATCAACCATACAGCTATAATGCTTTATCGATGGTTCGATTTTGTATGTTTCTGTCATTAACAAGAAATAGTCCTTTGCTCTGTCCACCATACCACCGTGATTACAAGACGTCAAGACACCTAAAAAACTAACATAATCTGGTCTGAAATTTGAAGATTCGAGCATTGAAAATAATCGGACTGCTTCATTCTCACGGCCATTCATAGCTAGGCCTAAAATTAGGGAGTTCCAACATGACAATCCTTTCTTCGGGGCACTCTTGAACACTTGAAGAGCCTTATCAATGCTTCCACACTTGGAGTACATGTCTATAATCGCTGTAACAACAATAACGTTTAATTCGAAATTGTTCTGTACAATATAGTCATGAATCCATTCTCCCTGTCTAAGTGCTCCTAAGCAAGCACAGGTATTTAACAAACTCACCATTGTAAACTCACTAGGCTTAATCCTCTCCTCTTGCATTCTGCTAAAAAGCTCCATTGCCTCAAAGAACCTACCTTTCCTCACATATCCACTAATCATAGAATTCCATGACACTGTATTCCTCAACAACATCTTATCAAACAACCTCCTAGACTTATCAATCTCTCCGCATTTAGCAAGTCCTATAATCATAGTATTCCACGTCACAACATCAAATCCCATAGCTCCATCAAATATTCTCTGTGCTTCACTCAAAAACCCACAATTTACATACATATTCAAGATTGTGTTTTGTATAAACTGATCATTCTCAAGTCCCAATTTTATCACTCTGCCATGAAGCTGAGCTCCATCATGGGCCAGACCAAGTTGAGCATAAGCCTTAAATACTGAAGGATAAGTCAGCCTTTGAGGTTGAGTACTTGGTGAAGTGAACAGCATTTCAATGAATAAGGAGATTGCATTTTGTGGAGTTGAGCTTTGAGAAAAGCCTCTGATAATAGTGTTCCATACAAAAAGGTTTGGATTTTGTATTTGGTTAAAGACTAAGCAAGCATAGTTGATGTCACCTGCAGGAGAGGCACAAAAGGCCAAAAGACGGCTAGCAGCAATAGGGTCTTTTGCTAGGCCAGTTTTTATGAGTTGCGCATGGATTTTTTGAAGGTCTTTCATGGAAGTGCAATTTTTGTCCAGCATGGAGAGGTAAGGTTGGTCTGAGATGAACTTGGATATGGAAGGTGATGATGGAATTAGGGAGCAAACACATGGTAACATTTTCTATGGTTCTTGTTTTCTGTTTCGACCATACGGGGCGTTATCCTTTTTCATTAGGGAAGGAGGACGCTGAGGGAAATGGATCCGCAGATTATGAATATATGGCAAAAGCAGCATAAATTTTAAAGGCGATGGGCCCGTTAGCTGACTCTACCACGGAGTTGCATGGACTATTTGATTGGTGGAAAATGTGGGCCTATCATGCTTTTTATTGAACCATGGGCTTTACGTGCTTTTTATTTTTATTTTTTGAACAATGGGTTCTTACGTGCTGCGAGTCTGTGACCCACTCCAATGTTTTGTATATTTGTATTATATCTTTGGCTAATTATGCTTTGTCAAAGGACCATTATGGAACCATAGGTATTAAACTATTCTTTAACATTTTTTTCTTTAAGTGAAAGCTTAAACATTTAAGCTTAAAATTTATACAGATCTATATTGTTTTGTGCTTAATACTGAAAAAAGGAAAGTGGTGAGACTTAAATTTAGAATCACTTGATCCGATATCATTAATACTACGTCAAATAATCATTTCATCAAAAAATATAAACTGTTAAATAAGATTTCAAAATATAATTTAAATTATTTTTTAACATATTTTTTCATATATTTGATAAATAATATCTTGGAGTGGATTTGCCAACTCTGCAAATGGTGAGGTGCAACAAAAATATAACAAAACAACTTATTTTAAGTATGTCAAAACTGGTGGGAAAAAATCTTTATTATTGAAACCAAAAGATTATATAAATTAAGAGCTCGATGATATCTGTTTCACTGTTAAGAGGTTTTTTTTTTCCCCTACACATGGAATTCTACACCTATTTTATTGATTTAATTATGAAAAAAAAAAGCCGTGTATGTTAATTGAGCTGCAAACAGGATTTCACAATTTGTTATCATAAGGAGGCTCCTAATTTTTTTTTTTTAAATTCAATATATATGACTTATTTTAATTTAATCATTTAAAAAGTTAATTTTGGTCCTTATATTTTACGGTTCTTTGAATTGGACCCCTCCAAAAGTTTGTTTCTTCTATTTATTACCTATTGGTTTTAGTTTAATTTTATATTCATCCTTATATTGGCTCCTCCATTTATTTCACCCCAGCTCCGTCATTAGCTATAAGCTCATTGTCACGCCATTTATTGGTTGTTACCTGTAGGGTGTAAGTCTGTAATTAAGCCAGAAAAAAGTTTAACAACCAAGGGAAAAGGAAAAAAGAAAAATAAATTACACAGCAGCGGTCACGTGTCAGCTCGTGACCCAGCAACCCAAAAAAGAAATCTTCGATTCTCGCCTCCCATTTGCCAAACAGAATAAAAAGAGCGGTTTGTAAAACTAGAACACTTACTAAAATCGATAGATAGAGGGCAGCAGCAAAGAAGGAGGAAAAAATGGGAGGGACGAAGAGCAAGATTTCTCTTGAAGATTACCTCCAATTTTTTCTATCTCACAAGCAATTCGGTCTCTCCGCCAATTTTCTCAATCAGGTTAATTTAATTTATATATACACAAGCACCACTTAACAAACAGTTCCTCCTCCTCTCTGATTTTTTCCGCATTGATTGATTCTGGTATCAATTTTTGTGTGCATCCATGTTTGATTTTTGCAGATTATCCTCATGCACGGCTTCAAGAAACTCCACGGAGTCCCTAAGGTTCAATTCGAACACTAATTGATTTCTGATTTAATTTTTTCTTTATTTTTACCTTTTTCGATTTACTTAAGCCGTGTTTTTGTTATAAAATACACGGACAGAAAGTGTTATCAGATGCGGTGGATACAATAGATCTGGAGAATCTCTCACGCTCCACACTGAAAGACAAAAACGAAATATCGTCGGGCGCATTCATGAATGTGGAAGACATTGTGGCAGATATGAATGAGCTCGATTGGCAGGAGTGCTGCGTCACTTCCATCCACACACTGAACGCAAAATCAGAACCCCAAGCTGTAGCAGGAGGCACAAGGAAGAGGAAGAGAGGTAGTAGCAGTGCAGGTGCTGCTATTGATGCGGTGTCTACTACTGCTCTTGTTTGATTCTGCCGAAAGGACCTTTTACCACTATCATTGAGGTACTCCACAAGTGGTTAATTTCCTTTTATTTAGGTACATTATATTGGATACGTAGCATAACAATAGAAGATTGACCTTTGATTTCAAGAAGATTGTGTCAGTGTTTTCATTTTCAAAAAATAGCATGTTAACTATTTACCTTTATGCAAGTGTAAGTTCATGTGATTCAAAACCCTTTTTTAACCTTCCATGACCTGGATTTGGCAGAAAATAATGGTCATGGGTAAAGAAATGAGGTAAATTATAGAGTAAAAGTGCAAAAGTGCTGAGCAACATACAGTGACAATGACTAGTAAATGAGAGGGAATATTGTGCTCTAACCAACTCTAGGTTGACCCACACCAATATTTTGGGTTAGCTGTGGGCTTGACCCTTGCTGTGATAATGAAACTGAGAACCACGCCAATATTTTGGGTTTTCCTTACCCACTTTTTTCTTGGAGAGGGCTATTGGCAAGTGCGAAGTGGGCCGTAGAGACGAGTAAATTAATTTATGTGTATTCAGATTTTAAGTATGTCAACTTTCAAAACATATTTCTTAGTCCCTAGTATTTCACAATTCGGTAAATTATGGGATGGGGACTCTTAAATAGGTTTCGAAAGCATAAATATTACAATCCAACTTTACCAAACCATTTATTTAAAAATAATTTGCCATTAGAAATTATTCTTTTTTCTCAGCCATCTTAAATGGTGATGATTTCTTTTTTCCCTTTCCTGAGATGTATTTAATGGTGATGAGGAGGCATGTGTATTTTAAGGTCGTGTTTCGTAAGATGCTCCCTCCTTAAAATAAATTAGTTTATTTTGTAATTGGTAATGAAAAAATTATGTTCAACTTGTAGAATATCAACAAAATCAACAAAAATAATAATTTAGAAATGAATTATAATTTTTTCATTTTCTATAGACACTCCATTTAGGACTAAGAAAAAAGTTACTAATCATAAATTAAATGGCATTACGTTGGAATTGCATTGGTTGATTACCATAGTACTCCTAAATCAAGAAAATATGCCTAGGACGCGGTGGCATGCCCTTGCTAGAAGATGGTGTAAATAAAATTTCACTTCCTCCTTTTATTTTCTTAGAAAAAGGAACACTCAAGTCATCATCGAAAAGCTACAAGGCTCCAATGAAAGTGGGAAAGAACTGGGGCATCCCTTGCTGGTCTTTCTTATCGCAACTTAGTCACTTCCAGTCTACCAATTTTGTTCTTTGAAGTCAACCAACCGACCACCAAAATAACTTTATCTAAAACAGCAATCACAGCTTTAGAAGATCTTCTCCTAAGTTAATCAGACAACAGTTGCCGAGAGTCTTGTTTAGCACCACACGTACAACGCATAAGGTGACTAGGAGATATATGTGTGTGCGCCAAGTTCAAGATTTGTCCACATTAAAAAGAAAATTTTGAGATAGATATAGCAATTATGATCAAACATAATGCTTGTTCTTTTAATTTTTATACTTAAAAATTGTCACATCAAACACATACCCACTTAGAATAATCTAACAAGAGAGCAACAATCAAGAAATGACTTTATCTGCGCCAAAGAAAATAAATAAAAGAGGAGCTAGGAACGTATATAATATAACACCACATAGGTATCCAATTGGTCAAAAGTGCAGCCACAAGGTAGAGTTTTGGACGGCTCATCTTTTGTTTCTGAAGACCGATTTTTAGTAATTTTGTTAACATTTTACTATGGTCTCTCTCCACACAAAATTAAATATAAAATTTTGTTGTGTTGGTTGTTTAAGGTGAACGTTTGATAATAGTGGCCATCAAATGCAAAACACTAGTAAATGATTTAACTTTTGATGACGGAGGCCATTATGGACTGACCACATGATACTTAGAATATAGTCCCGTATGTTTACTAGTGGTTGCTCAAAAATTACATGACTAAATTGTTAGGTAACGGATCAAGAAAGAAAGATAGAGTGAAAAAAAAAAAAAAAAAAAAAGGAAAAACAATCACTCACATAAGAATAAGAATTTAGGTGATTCAACAATTATGTACACTTTACATCTATATTAAGACTTCTTATTAAATTTTTGTCAAGCAACAATTATACATACAAATGATATTATCTCTATTTATAATAAAGACAATTAAGATTATAATAAAAGAAAAGAAAAAAAAACCTTATCTGAACTATGCATCTTGTCGTGTCGAAAGAATTCTAAACTTTATGACATTTCGATATCAGTCAACACAAAATCTGATTTTATGATGCTAGCAAAACTATGAAACAGTTTCAGTCTACATAGCTCTTAAAACAAATTACATATATAACCGCTTTAGGCTAAAAATTATTAGAAGAGAAAACAAAGTTTTTAGAGCTCTTATTTTAGTAATAAAACTTAATCGTCATCGGTTTGTCCTGCTTGAATTTTTTATTTTTTTTGAAAGCAGATGTCAGCCTACAATTTTTTTTTGGTTTTTCCTCTGTTGTAGCTGCTTAAAAATCTTGCTTTGGCTTTTCTGCTTAGCTTCAATATACGACACATTACCTGAGATGGGCATAGCATAGCTTAGGCACCACTCTTTACAAACAGGGAATCATTATCTATTTCCATGTTGGAGTGAAAAATTTGATAGGTTTGTGTCACCAGGAAGAATAAGAAATAAAAAGCACATTCTTTCTATATAGTTGGCAGTCTTGATCAATAACAACCCAACAAGAACTGTAGAAAATACTTTAACCCAACCAAAAAGCAGAGAGCAGAGTAGAGGATACTTTGAGTATCGTACACCCCAATTTGGGTGATCTATGGTCATCCCACGTAAGGTCAGTTGGGGCAGTCCACCTTCCGTTCTGTTCTCTTTCTTTCTCAAATTGAGGGAGTACCAAATTGATCATAAAGACATGCAGAACTTATCTTGCATAACTAAGAAATTTACTGGACGTAATTCAAGTTCGACCTATGCTCTCATTATTTAGAAAACAGTAAAAGAAGAAGCATAAACTTAAAAAATAAAACTAAAGGCAAAATGTTTACATCATCGGCATCATTACAACCATCACTTACTAGCCCACACACCAAACCTAAATTCCAAAACAATTCTCTCCCTTTACTTCTTTTTCAACCTTCTTATCACTTTTTCCCTCCTTTTTTGTTCCAGCTCTTCCTTGCATCCTCCTCTACATCCATGTCTCCTTTCTCAAGTCTTCCTCTACAGAACATACTCTCTCTCTCTCTCTTTCTCAAGAGTGTACTTATTCTTACTCTCTCTCTCTCCCTCGCAAGAGTGTGCTTATTCTTACTCTCCCTCTCCATCTCAAGAGTGTACTTATTCCACAAAATATATATTATTTGTACAACACAAAGGACGCAAAATCCTCTTTTTTCAACAAGATCATTGATGCTTCTGTAATTTAAGATTTCTTTGCTTCCTTTCCCTTTCTTTGCTTTGAATAAAGGGTAAACTGATTGGATAAAAACACCAAAGAAGAGAAGAAGAAGAAGAAGACGGTCAGGGGTTTAAGAAGAGAAGAAGAAGAAGAAGACGGTCAGGGGTTTAAGCCCATGGGTGGCAGAGTCATCTACTCCCTCATGTTTTTCTTACTCGGTCTCTTCCTTTCTTCAGGTGATGTTTTGCTCTCTTATGTTTGGAATGCCTCTATTTCAGAAACAATTTTGTTTCACCCCTTCTTTTCGATTATGCCAAGGAAACAACGATTTCACATTACTGATTTTTTTTAAATAATACATTACTGATTTTCGTAATTTTCCAGTTAACTCAAGCATTGAAATACATAATTACATTTCAGAAACAATATGGATAATTTCTTTTATGAATAAATTATATATATGTGTGTGTGGATGCTATAGTGCCTTCTTGGGAGTTTTTATCTCTTCATTCAAGTTCTTGTTCTATTTCTGGTTCTTTGGAGTCAAACTTTACCTACTTTATTGCATGTTGGAAGCAGAAATTGATTGCTTTTTCCATGTGGTTGTAGTTCTCTTTTTGAAAATGATACTTCTTTCTTCACATATGATTCTTTCCTATCTATTCGGCTATAATTTATTGTACTAAGTAGATTTTTCAAATTTTCAATCATGGTTGTTATTCAATTTCAAATCATGTCCTCCTCTTTTTTCTTGTCAATTATTAAACTGGTTGGCCTACTCCAGTTGGACAATCATGTTGACTGTAAATCACCGATCCACTTATGACTTTAGACTAGTCGGTGAATTTGGAACCATGCACATACATTACCTTGATGCTAAGTTCGAAATTGAGTGAACAGAATTTGAAATTTAGAGTATTCCAATTTTCAAATCAAGCATTATACAATGAAAGATTAATTTTGCTCTTGATGTTTTTAATCCAGGTTTAAGTGTTACAAAAAGGTTAGCGAATGACAATAGTAAACAAGCAGACCATGGAACAAAGCAAGCTGTAGTGCATATGAATTCTATTTCCAGGAGCCAAAAGGACATTACTACCCCAATAACAACTGTTCCCACAATTATTCCCACCAATCCCACTACATCAACCCCAATAATAAACCCAAATTCAGACCCTGATTCAATATCACCTGCTACCATGACACCAATGGTAACCCCAGCTTCAACATCATCACCTGTATCTTCTGGAGCTAGCTGGTGTATTGCTAGCCAAAGTGCATCACCAATAGCGTTGCAAGTTGCTTTGGACTATGCTTGTGGCTTTGGTGGTGCTGATTGCTCAGCAATTCTGTCTAGTGGAAGCTGTTACAATCCAAACACTGTCCATGATCATGCCTCTTATGCGTTCAACAGCTATTATCAGAAGAATCCAGTACCCAGTAGCTGTAATTTTGGAGGAAATGCTGTTACTACTAGCACTAATCCAAGTAAGTTACATCCTTTTTGGTGCCATAACCATTAATTGTACGTGTCATATATTCATTCACTGTATCTACCACCCCACCCCCCTCCCCCCCCCCCCCCCCCCGCCCCAAAAAAAAAACCAAAGTATGCAATTGGTTTGGGTTAGAAATAAACCATGGGCCAACTGTGGGTTGGGTTAAGACACCCAAGCAGTTCATTCAACTTTCTTTTTAAAACAAATAGGTGGTGCCACAGAATTCTAAGCTCGCACTTCGCACAGTGAAGTATTAATTTTCATTTTTTTTTTAACACCTGAGTTTCGGTCCTTTTTTAAAAAATATATATATATATATATATGATCAATGCTAAATTTCTAGTGACACACTTGTGCGTTTGCCACTCTTTTGTAAGTACTGGTCGTAAAGGTTGAGGGGATTCGGCTTCTTTATTCTTTATTCTTTATTCTGTAGAAAAAAGAAAAAAAAAAAAAAAGCAAAGTTTTTTGTTTATTTCGGCCTGGACCAAATTCACCAAAACCATTCTTCTGATTACGTTGTTTTTTCATGCTTAATTTCCCATGTTCAAGTTCTTACTAATTTAAGCAATATTGTATATCAATGTGATCGAAGCTTAGTGATATTTTTGTATAAACTAGGGGGTGTGGTCTGATGTTGAATTTCGGTTTTGTCAAATACTCTTTAACAAGAATGGAATATAATCATAAGAAAAAAAAAAAAAAAAAAATCTTGCACCTTATGTCAAATTGTTTGGGCAATACTATAGGACTCCCAATATACATCAATTCTAAATTAGTCCCTAAACTAATTAATTGAACCCTCGTTGTATCGTAAAGTCGCAATTGCATTCCCATACATGCCTACTTTTCTGTCCCAAATATCATTTTTATGCAATAAACCGACACTGATGTTTGAAGAGAATATGGCTTTTTTAAAGAAAAAAATTATGATGATTGTAGAAGGAGAGATCTACTTGTGAGTATATCGGGAACTTGGACTTTCTTGAGTTTGCTCCTAAGTCCTAAATTAATTTGTTTTGAAGATATAGTACTTGCTTTGCTGACATCACAAGGCCAAGCTCCCACGGGAGGGCTTGATCACTGGAGAGACTCAAACTCGGGGTCCTTAGAGGATAGAATTGACATGTTAATTTGGCTTGTAGTTTATTAGCTGGCAATGGATTTTGTTCTATCGAACATATTGAAGAAGTTATTTTGAGAGTAAATTATAAATTGGTCCTTTTATTTTTATAAAATAGATTAATTAGTTTTTTTATTTCAAATACTAATTATTTAGTTTTCATATTTTAAATTTTCTTGTAACCTAATTTTTTTTTAATTTTTTTATTTTTTTAAAAAAATAAGTAAAAATATAAACTAATTGATGACAAAAATAGCATTTTTAAAATAAAATAATATTAAATAAAATGTAGTCAAAAAAATTTTAAAAAAAGACTAAATAATTAACTTTTTTAAAAAATTAACTAATTAATTCATTTCTAAAATATAAAGTGATTAAATTATAATTTACTAATTATTTTGGAAGACATAGAGATTCGAGGGAGCAGGGCTAGCTAGAAGATTGTGATTTGGGTCATTTCAATGGGGTCGTTGAAAAATACCTAAAGTGGATCTTTTACCGGCACGTCAGACCACTTTTAGCGGCCTTTACAGACGCAAGTCAGTCGTCAGATCTGTGGATTAGAAATAACTAAAGTGCTCTGTTTTGTTTTTTTTTAATTGGATAGAGCTCTTATTTACTTTCCATACTATTTCAGGTACTGGGACGTGTCAGTTTCCGTCCACTAGGTGAGGTTTCGTATGCTCCTTTTCTTCTGAAGAGGAAAACAAAAAATCTGCTGGTTGATTTTTTTATCTACTTCTCATCTGGATTTGGAAATGTTTTGCAGCACAAGCTCATCAGTCTTGAACACCACAAATTCAAATGGTGCCACGGTTTATGGTGCAGTACCTTCAAATCCTACCCCATCGGAAGCTGCCAAAATTAACGAGACTCCACATTTTATGTCCGTGACATTTCTGATTATGTTGCTGGCTAAATTAACATCATCTCTGGGCTACAGGGGATAAATTCATTTGATTTGGTACATTAAGTAAATGGTACTATACTAATCTGTTGCTTGCTAGTCTATGCTTTTTAGGAGACTTGGAAGCTCACGTGCAGGAATGCTGAATGCTAGGGGCATATATATATATATATATCTACTGGCCTTAGTTTTTTGGTTGCAAATTATATTTGATATGTAAATTAGTTGTTAGTGGTGATCATAAGATGGGATGTAGTGTAGAGAGAAATTGCATTTTGATGGTGGGTTTTTTTGTAATGGTAGAAACACGCATGAGGAATTTGCTCTTCCTTCTGCAGCGTTAGAAATTTGGCTTCTTCAACAACAACCCAAACACCACCACCACCACCACCACCACCACCCCCGCCCCCCCCCCCCCCATGTTTTATGATGAGAATGAGAAATTAACTTTGTTCGTTTGCTGAAATGCAATGCAATATAGCCTTTGATTGATTAGGGAGAAGTCAACATCTTGGACAGATGATACAAGATGTCGTGGCTCTGATAATTCTACCCTCGCATTTCACATATCACAAAAGGAAGTCTTTGAAGAAATTTACTATTTTTTTTTCCTTTCGAAATTGGATTTATTGACTCAGGAATTCTCTTCGATAAGCAAAAGAGATTACGTTTTAGGTTCTATTAGCTCAATACCCGTGCGTTGATGCGAGTAAGTTTATCATATCCATGTTTTAATATTTTAAATAATTTCAAAATATAAATGTAAAATAAAAATTAATTAACACTCATTATAAAAAAAATTTAATTTAATATATATATAATTGAATTTAAATATTTCTTAGGAATATTTTTTATTTTGATAGATAAAAAATATATGCAATTAATTATTTACTTATAAAAAATCCAATTAGAAGGAGGTGTTTAATCAATTTATATTAGAAGAATATTTAATTTTAGTTCATGAATATTTAAAAAAAATAAAAAAAGTAACCATTGATGATGAGAAAAAAATTCTTTTGATTAAAAAATAATTAATGAAAAAACCCAGCTCGAAAAAAATATGATAGAGACATTTTGATAATATTAATTAAAATTAGGAACCGTTTTATATAAAGTAATAACGTTGAGGACCAAAGTGTAAAATCTTGACAAATTGATAAAAAATCAGTTAATTATTTTGAGAAAACGACTTCGTTTTGGTTTCATTGTAGCAGATGCTTAGCTACAGTTAAACCTTATTTGCTTTTAGTATATGTAACTAGATCAATACCTGCGCGTTGCCGTGAGTAAGTCTATCATATACATGTTTTAATATTTTAAATAATTTAAAAATATAAATTATAAATTAATTAATACTCATTGTAAAAAAAACTTATTTACGTTAATATATATATATATATATATATATATATATATATATATATATATAAAATTGAATTGAAATATTTCTTAGGAATATTTTTTATTTTGATAGATAAAAAAATATGTAATTAATTAATTATTTTTAAAAAATCAAATTAGAAGGAGGTGTTTAATCAATTTATATTAGAAGAATATTTAATTTTAGTTCATGAATATTTAAAAAAATAAAAAAAAGTAACCATTGATGATGGAAAAAAAATTATTTTGATTAACTAATAATTAATGAAAAAAACCCAGTCGGAAAAAAAAATGATAGAGACCTTTTGGTAATATTCATGAAAATTAAGGAGTGTTTTATATAAAGTAATAACTTAAAGGATCAAAATGTAAAATACTGATAAATATATAAAAAAATCACTTATTTTTTTTAAAAAAGGACAGTTTTGATTTCACTGTAGCTAAGCCAGAGGCTAAACTACAATGAAACCATATTCTCTTTTAGTATATGTATAATAATTTTCGTCTAAAAAGAATAAAAAAAAATTTTGAATTTCAATCTGGTAACCATTAGCTGTCATTATAGCAAAGATGTGAGATATCTTATTTGAATTAGTGATGCAATTACATAAAAATTTGAACTTAAAAATTATCTGAATAATTATAACATTTTATCAATAATAACCGTCATTTTCTAATATTTTAATGAATTCAAAACTAAGGAGTTTTACTTCACGTGAGATGGACCAACTTTCTTGTCCTGGTCTTGATGACTATCAACTTTTTTAAGGATGTAAAATTTTTTTTATTAATCAGAAGAAAAGGAAGAGCTTTTAACTCGCAAGCACCCCAAAAATTAAAAAATATCATGCATATCTCTAGAGATCCATACTATTCGAATCCAAATTAAATGATTTTTTGTGCATCTTACACAACCAGACTTCTAACATAATAGAATGATTCTCACATGCTGAAGCTTTGGCCAGCAAAGAGGCCCTTGGCATTTGGTGGCCACTCATTATGTGTTCATCACTGAAGGGCGATGCCCCATCCACTTTTAGGTTCCATATATTGCTACTAATTAATTTTTGTGCTCATCCTGTCATGGAAGACCCTTACCTCTTCCAACCCCTCCTGATCCCAAAAACTACCAGCACATCCTTCAACACCACCTCCACCTCCTTAGATGCTGACTACATCAAGCTATGCTCTTCCAATTCTAGCATCATTCTTCGGCTTCTTTTGATCATTTCAATTGGAATTATCTCCATATGGGCAAACTATGAAGCATCAAAAGGCTTCGGTATTACATTAGTCAACGAGGCCGAAGAATCTGCAGAAGGCAAACGCTTCAATCTCTTGTACATATCCAACGACAAAGCCACCCGTATAGTCCAAAACACTAGCTCCTTTGTTGAAAACCTTCTTTACCCAGATATCAACAACACCAAGAAGCAAGTGATCAACCATGTCACTCTAAGGCTGGCCAGCAACAACCTACCAAACTTGGTCACGGTAGACGCTAACACTAACAATGAGTTTGTCATCAGCATAAGTCCATTAATGTTAACGGACCATACTAAAAACCTTGATCATGCAATTAAATCAATTGTTTTACAAGGTATGGCTCGTGTATGGCTATGGAACCCCGAGTCTAGGGCTCCTCCATGGATTCTCGAGGGCATGGTAGAGTATATTAATAGGTTGATGGGTTTTGGTCCTGTAAGAAATTTTGGTGGTCACGAGTCACTTGATGACCCATTTGGTAATTTTCGCTCAGGAGATAAAGACCCAAAGGTTGTGGCGAAATTTTTGGAGTGCTGTGAGACCTGGCGTGAAAAGGGGTTCATCCAACGGTTAAATAAAGCTCTAAGAGATGATCATCAGTGGATAGACTGGACGGTGGAGGATGTGCAAGGGATGTCGGTACAGAATCTATGTGATTCGTGCAAGAACACATCACATGGGATGTCGAGCTGGTGATCAAAATTTTTGAGAGTTGGCATGACCTGTCCACATGGTCCGATTTCAGATTTCCTTATGAAGACAGCTGAGAGACATAATCAAAGGATAAAGTTGATTCTTTGGGTAATTTCATAAAAACAATTACTATTGGAAACTTGTGGGGTTAATGTAATTTTGTTATTAGTTATTCTTTTCTTTTCTTTTCTTTTTTTCCAACCATTGTTTTTTATATTTTCCAATAATGTATGTTTGATCAATTATCATCCACGCAGGCAGTAGTGGTCAAGGCAAAGAATTTTATTTTTTTTAATCGAAAGGAGGGTTCGGGACTTTAAAACAAAAGGTTTACGCCGGACATAATTTTGAAAAAAAAAATCTCATACATATTTCCTAAAAGGGGAATAAAACAACTTGAAGGATAGAGACCAAAAGAATTCACATCCAAATCAAGAAAGAAAAAATGGTTGGCCATCCACGCAACCAGTAGTGGTCAAAGCAGAGGAAAATATTGTAAGTGAGCAATATTCGTTTACAAGTAATCAAAAACTCATAATTAAGGTATAAAACCGGACGTTTCCAACTCAATCATCTCCCTTTATTATGTGAACTGCCTTAATACTTAATTTTGATACCATGGCCATTACGCAATTAGATTCTACTAATACGCCATATACCATTTACTATTGATAGAAAGAAGTTCAAATTATAAGTTTCCAAATAACAAGACAGAGTCAGTTCCATGCCGTACATTTAACTTTTACTGATATGTATCCGATTAAAAAAAAAAAAAAAAAACTTTTCCTAATATGCCACTTTTTAGTTCAATGTTTATAAAAAAAAAGTTCTTCATCATGATTCAATTAAATTGTCATTTTGAATAAAAAATATTATTTTTCCATTTCGAACACGAGCAAATAAGAATTCGTTAGGAACTCGCACTCAGTAACATAGTATTGATTTGTCCCAAAAAAAAAAAAAAAGTTTGAATGAAAAAATCTTTCGTTTAAATAAATAATTATAAATTCAAATTTTTAATGTAGACTTTTAGGTGCAAGATAACTTGAAAATTCAAAATAAAAATAATAATAATATGGTATTGATTTGATAGCTAAGTTACATGTTAGGGATTGACTGTTCAAAAGAATTGGCCGCTGGTGGTACCAACGTTTGAACCTTGGTTGAGTGGCATGGAAGACAACACTGACACCACAAGAACAGGAGCATTGGTTTCAAGGAATTACTCACAGATATGTGATCGTTATTTATTGCTGATACGTATGGTGCCAAATCGATTAAATTCTTCTTTATTTTTTGAACTTGGCAAATCATAGTTTGAAAAAAAGAGGCTATGAGAAAGTGAAGAAAATTATATATTAATTCTTCTGGTGTTGAGAAATGAATTAATTAATCATTTTTGTTTTTAAAATTAATATTTTTTTTTCATTTTATGTTAATTATTTTCTAAGTTGTTTTAAAAATAAAAATAAATAAATATTATGGAAAGACTGATGAGCAAGTTAGATATTTTTTGAAATAAAATAATATTGAATAAAATAAAATCAATACTAATTAAAAAATTAAATCATTAATTCTTAAAATAAGAAGATTAATTAATTTGTTTATCGAATGATTAATTTATAATTTACTCTGAAAAAAATGGAGTACCAAACTTCTATTTTTAAGATGGTATTTGATATGAGGTTAAATATAAGGTGATTATATAAAAAAAATAAGGATAATATATATTTGATATATTAATAAAATTGAAACCTGAATTATTAGAGAAAATTATTAGTGAAATGAAAGAAAAAGTAATTAAATTATCATGGATAATTATTAGAGAGAAACAATAAATTATTTTTGTTTGTATTTTATAAAGGAAGAGAGAGAGAGAGAGAGAGATCAAGTGTGGATTGCTTCTACAACCGAGTCCATGGTTTTTTTAACGGTCGTAAAAAAAATCATTGGACTGGGACGGCTTAGGCCGATACTGAATTCGTTTACATCAAATTGAGTTGGCGGCCTAGCTTTTCTATGAAGTTTAAAAGAGCTATTAGGCCCAAATTTAAATATGCTGACAAAAAAGCTATGGATAGTTACTAGAAAAAAACCCTCTAAAAAAATCTATCTAAAAAACCTATTGATTTATTTTAAAATCTCTCAAAGCTAAAGTAATATTTTTTCTTATCAAAACATTCAATAATATTGGGTGTTTTGGTAATATATATATATATATATATATATATATATATTCGTTTAAGAGATTTAAAAAATAAATAAATTAATTTTTTAAATAGAAGATTTTTTAGAAGGTTTTTTTAGTAATTATCTAATAATAAAATTATTTTCTAGTTTTTAATGAGTTTGATGCTTATATTTTTTTATAGTTCAAGTTTTTTTATTTGAATTGAAAAAAAAGGTTCTTTGAGGTTCTTTGACTACTAACAATCTAACTTTCAACTATATATTATTTTTTGTTATCCTAAAAAAATTTCTATGTAGGAATTTTTATATCTTTCTATCAATCGTTTGCTTCATCAACTACGAGATTACTATTACCCTTTAGTAACTATAACAACTGATCATGCAATTCAACTAATTAATATTGATGAAATAAGACTCTTATTACCCTATTGTAATTTAATCCAAAAGCTATCATACAAATAAGAAAAGCAAAAATATATATGATTATAAACATTAGTGATCTATTAGATTATAATATATTGATAAAAAAAAAAAGCACCATGAGTGGTACTTGGTTTTTAATTAATCAAAATTTAACATTTTTTTATCAAGCAATTAGATTAAATTATAGGATGAGTGTAATAAAAAATGATCATCCACGATAGAAATATATATCTTGGAAGATAAAAGTTTTATTTAAGCTAGGAATGATTGCCAAAAAAAACCTTCTAAAAAATCTACTATTTAAAAATTCTATCAATTTATTTTTAAATCTCCTAAACATAAAATAATTGTTTTTACCAAAATACTTTTTTTAAATCTCTCAAACTTAAAACATTATTTTTCTTACATACACATATAAGGTAAGAAAAATATTGTTTTTGGATTTAAAACATTTAAAAATAAATTAATGGATTTTTTAGATGAAAAATTTTCTTAAAAAGTTTTTCTAGTAATTATTTCAAAAAACTATGCGACCTTTTATTCAGGGTAAAAATGACTTCTACCTGTCGGGGAAAAGGAAGTGCGGAAAGGGAAATAAAAAGATAACAAACAATTATATATACATACACATATAGGAAAGAATTATTAAAAATATTTTAAAATCATGGTCTAAGGAGTTATATATTTTTGAAATTTTATATTTCTTGATTTCTAACATTACGATTTATAGAAAAACTTTCTAAATTTAATGTGTTGACTCAAATTTAATAAGAGTCTCCAAGAATAAGGACATTTTGTTATCACGGATCAAATGGAGTTCGATATCGAGTTGCTAAATCAAAACATGTACAACTTCAAGCCATTCATTTTTACCACTTCGCAAATTTTGGGAGCAAAAGGAGCTAACAACTTTTCTTAGTAAGTAGCATAATAGCAAATATAAGATTAATCTTTGACTCTTGTTTGTAAGACTGAAAAATTAAGCAAAATATAACGAGAGCCACGAAAACTTGGCCACTCGTATTATGAAATCCTTTGATTTATATTTTCTTGGACATGAAAGATTGGGTAACCGATATTATCGGAGAAAGAGAGAGAGAGAGAGAGAGATAAAACTACACATTATCCGAGCCAAAAGGTCCTTAATAGAAGTATGCAAACGTGGTCGTTAGGTAGCATTCTATTTATAATTAGTTTTAATTAGTTTGATTAGTTAGCAATTAGTTAGAAGGTAGTGTTATTTTAACTTTAGTTAGTTTAATTGTTGTATAAAAGAGAAACGAGTAATAAGAAAAGCAATAACATAAAAATCCCTATGATACATTTTCCTCTCTTCTTTCTATTTCCTCTCGCTTCTTCAATCTTGATTTCATTTCTTTGTTCTTTATTTTTCATTGTTCCAATCCATGGAAGTTAACATGGTATTAGAGCCTATGTGACTTGATGATTGTTTCAAATTAATCTTTAATCTCTGTTCATATTCTTCTCTCTATCATTTCTTAAGCTTCTTCCATGAAAGTAACATCTCAAGTACGATCTCCTACTATTGAAACAATGTCATGTAAGGATGATTCTTATTCTCCTTATTACATTCATCATTTAAATCATCATGGATCTTTAATAGTTACTCCTTTAATGACTACGGAGAATTATGCAACTTGGAGTAGGTCTTTTGTACTTACTCTTTCAATTTGAAACAAATTAAGGTTTATCGATGGATCTATTCCCAAACCCCGAAGATCAATTATTTAGCTCTTGAAATCGCCGTAACGACTTAATTATGGCATGGTCATTAAGGTCATTGTCACCTCCCATTGCTATAATTGTGTTTTATATGAATTCAACTTCGACAGATTTAAACAATTTAAATAAAAGATTCTCTCAATCAAATGAGTCTCGAATCAGTAAACTTTAATGGAATCTTTGCTCGATCAATCAAGGTACCGAGCTTGTGACTATTTACTTCATTGACCTAAATGGAGTATGGGAAGAACCGAGAAGTTTCGGACCCTTACCATATTTTTCTTCTAGAACCTACAACAATGATCTGCTTCCGAAATTTATGGACATCTAGGAGAAGGATTATATGTTTAAGTTTTTTAAATGGATTGAATGAATCATTCATTTCACTCGAAGTCTCAAGTTTTTGTTATGAAGCATGTTAAAAGTTTAGATGAAGTGTATAGTATGGCTTTTGTAGGTTGTTAATCAATCTTTAAACGAATATTCTACTATGATTGTCCTCTATGGAAACAAAAAAAGGATTCATATCACTTGTTCTCATTGTGGTAAACATGGTCACAATAAGGATAAGTATTATAAGATTATTTGCTTTTCGAAAAATTTTAAGACTACTAGAACCAAGGGATTTTTGGGGTATGGTTCTAGCA